ACCGACAAGACCAGAACGGCACGTGTTACCAATCCTTTCTTATTATTTATACAGAGGATCCTTGAGGTACGCGGGGTAAGAAGGTCCTAAGAAATGTTCAGTGGGGTGGGTTTGAAGTTCCGGCCGAACCAGAGCACACCAGTAGCGCCAGGATCATCAGTGGCGTATCTCGTTTTGCCCGAAATTAAAAAAAAACCTAACTGCTTCGCATTCGGTATGTTTTGGCTTCACTTCTAGGCCGAGACACCGGGCTATCCTGTTGAATTTAGTGTTCCTCCTCCGACCCTCTTTACCAGGGAAGTATCTCACATGACGTCATGATCGTGTCGGTCGATACGCTCTCCACAGGTTAAGAGAGTCATGATAGCTCGGTGACTACGTTACGGGCTGGACGACCGGGAATCGAGGTTCAGTTTCCAGAACGAATATTTCTCTGCGCCATACCTTCCAGACTCACCCAGCATCCTCCTGTAAGCTATAATGAATGCGTGGAGCTACACCTTCACGTCGTGGTGCTTACTCAGAGCCGTAACTTTAAATAATCTGAACTAAGAAATAAATATTCCTATTCGAGATTTCCGGGTTCGTGACACGTTCCTTCAGCACGGAGTCCGGACAACGGGCTCCCAACAACTGCCTACTGCAGGACACTAACGGGCACCAAACTCCTTAAGAAGCAACACATCTCAGCCACTCAAGATGGAGCCAGAAGGTTCATTACCCTGTTCACAAGAGCCCACCATTAGTCCCTATCCCGTTCACACTCCTCATCCGTTTTAATATTATCTTCCGGCCGTGCCATAGGTCGGTCGGTTAATCACCGACTTTCACCTTGGCGGCCAAGGTTCGATCCCAAGTAACATCATGTAGAATGTGTCATGCAGGAAGTGGCAATGGGGCAGGTTTTCTCCGAGTACTTCAGTTTCCCCTGCCAATTTTCATCCCAGGAACTGGTGCATATTCATTAATCATCATATCATCAACGCTATATAATGACAGAGCCTCTAATAACGAACGTAAAATTATAATACTACCGTCTACGTGCAGATCTTCCTTGTGGTCTCTTTCCTAAAAAAAATCCGTGGCTTGAGTCCACAAGTGAACTATACCGGCCGAGCGACCGCCGCTTGTCGGCGAAGTTAGTGCCAACTTTAGAGGATACAGAGTGTCGCATGGTCAGCGAAACGGTTTTAATTTCGGTTTTAGAGACCGAAGCCGCTATTTCCTTCAAATTCCTCTATCATGCTCATGACTCCGAGTCGACCAGACCCACTATATCTCAGAAAATCCGGCAGCGCCGGGAATCGAACCCGGAACCTCTGACCACTAGACCACAGAGGCGGTCTCTTTCCTTTAGGTTTTAATACCGAAACTCGGCATAAACTCCTACCTCATGCGTGCTACGTTCCCCGCCCTTTCATCCCCTTTGGCTTGATTATTCGCATAAGCCCCCAGGTACCCTTCTGGGGCGACAAGACACGTCACTGGCCTCACACATCCGAGCGCTGGGGCTGGAGACCGTTAGAACCAAAGGAGAGGCGCTGCTCTATCTGGTTGTCAAGGTGCAAAAGACAAGGTGTACACAAGGGAAACTGCAACAGGGGTAAGGAGGCAGGCCAGGCAACCTGGCCTCTACATTTAAAAGGCCCACGTTCTGAAAGCCGTCAGATTTCAAAGAAAACAATACAGTGCTACACTGAGCAGTCATATTTATACACTATGTTCACTCGGGCAGCGGCAACAAAAAGCGAAGACAATGCCTCCAGTTTCTTACAACCAAAACGCAGTTCTACGTGTAAACTGTAACGGGGAGGATGTGTCGGGCTGCAGGTTGTCCTCAAAAATACAAAAGCAATTCCCATTAAATTTAGCATCAGCACGGGCGGAAGGCTTTCACTGACCAAATTCAGAGCCAGAATTTAACGACACTCTGGTATCGAGACTATTAATGTGCAGCATGTTGCAGAATGAGAACTGGCGGGGGGAACCCGCTCTAGAGCCACTTGTCCACCACAAATCCCACAGGAACTCAAACACAAACCCTACTTTACCCGAAACTCAAATCGAACCACTCCACCGGCCGCAAGAAACGGTCCTCCTTGAGAAGCTGATAGCCGCTCAGCCGCTGAGAAATTCTCCGCCTTTTAAGAAACCCAAAGATTCTTTGCCGTGTTCACAACAGCCCGCGACTAGACAATATCCGGAGCCAGCACACCTTATTTTTTGCCTACTTTCATTCTTTTGAAAAAATAAGTATACAAAAGTAGGCTTATGCGATCACCATGCTGTCTGTGTATCCACCTGTATAATTTTTTCTAATGCGTGTACCAATCTCTATAAAACTCGGTATGTAGACATGGTATCTGCGCCCATCTCAGCGGCGTACTTCATAAATCCCTCCCATCAGTCTACCGCTGCTAGGCAACGGTTAAGTAAAAGGTTACCGCTGCAACGAATACACACACAATAGAAGAATTGTTGGGAGCGCCGTTTTCTATGCGATCCGTGTCATATCAAAGGAAAATGCGATTAGTTCTTCCCAGGATTTCCTGCTAAATACCAATTTTAATATGCGTTTCGGGATTTTCAAAGTTCTGGTTGCTGTGATTCTGATATCCTGGATTGTGACACTGTCTAGCCTTGTATGTGGATACCGACGTTTCGGAAGAACAATCCAGGTGATTGACATAAGTGTAGATACAGCGTTATCGGCCTATAAGATTATACTATGTCACAACGCAGAAGGCCAGACTCTAATCAGTTTTAATATTATCTCCAATCTGTGCTCAATTTCTCACGCGGTCTCTTCCTTCTCAAGTTTTCCAATTAAATTCTAATTTTGCCCTCCAAGCATACCGCAACTCACCCTCTGACGTGATGACCCTTACAATATTTGGTAAGGTAAAGTTCTCGGCAGCGCCATAGCTCAGGCAGTTAGTCGCTGGCTTCCCACCACGGCGGCCCGGGTTCGATCCCGGGGTCTGGTCAAGTGGGATTTGTGGTGGACAAAGTGGCGCTGGGGCAGGTTATCTCCGAGTACTTCGGTTTCCCCAGCCAATCTTCATTCCACCAACTGCTCCATAATGACCCTCACCTATCATCTGGGGCTAGTACAATAGGCCAGAAGTGGCCGCAGTACAAGGGACTTAGTCCCACCCCACTAGCAATTAAAAACAAAGGTAAAGTTGTCCCTGTGCTTAACTAATTAAGCACTATCACATGAAGGCGTATGAGGGAGTGGATGTACAGAGCCACATTTTCTTGATCTCGGTACGAGTGGGAGGTGAGAGATCAGCTTCACGCCCCGGCCGCATTACCCCCGGGGAAAGAGACTCCGGTACCCATTGGATAGGAGGTTTGTTGAACCCCAGACCCGGTCTGGGCGACATGGAGAAGAGAAAATTCTTGACCTTACCACGACTCGAACTTCGACCTCGCAGTTGTCCAGCCCGTAGCCAGTCGCTATACCAACTGAACCATCCCGGCTCTTACAAATTATGAAGGTCCCTACGATGCAGTTTTCTCCATTCTCCTCTCACTTCCTCTCTTTCTCAGCTCCAGATATTCTTACATGCATTTCATTCAGCTCTGCACAGGCTCCAGGCACTTAGTATTTCCTTCCTTTGGCCCTTCCATATATTCACCTTCTTCCTGCTCTCTCACTATTTCTTTCCCACTCCTTATCATATCAACATTTCCTTCCCTTTCCTTCCTCCATCTCCTTTATGTCGAAACACTTCCCTTGCCCCTATTCTTGCATTCTTCTAGGCCTTTAGTACCTCCTACCTTCCATATTTGATTCCCTTACAAAACTATAATTTGTGTCTGGTTCTGTATGGGTGTGAAACTTGGTCTCTGACATTAAGGGAGGAACATAGACTGAGGGTGTTTGAGAACAGGGTGCTGAGGAGAATATTTGGACCGAAGAGAGATGAAGTGACAGGAGGTTGGAGAAAACTGCATAATGAGGAGCTTCATAACTTGTACTCTTCTCCAAGTATAATTAGAGTGATCAAGTCAAGGACGATGAGGTGGGCAGGGCATGTAGCTCAAATGGAGAACAGGAATGCATAGGATATTGGTGGGCAAGCCAGAAGGGAAAAGACAAATGGGAAGACCAAGGCATAGGTGGGTGGACAATATTAAAATAGATCTTAGAGATAGGATGGGATGGTATGGATTGGATTGATCTGGCTCAGGATAGGGACCAGTGGAGTGCTCTTGTGAACACGGTAATGAACCTTCGTGTTCCATAAAATGCTGGGAAATTCTTAGAGTAGCTGCAGATTTGGCTTCTCCTCAAGAAGGGCTCAGTTCCATAAGTAAGTAACTTTCTCTGTATATCCTCTTACTGTCACTAATCTCTACGCATCCTAGAGATTGCAAAAGCCACTTTATATACTCCCCGTAGCAACGGGCGTGTTCAGTACTTCCCAGAGTGTGGTGGGAACACGGCACTGTTTATGTGTAGACGTCCTATTGCTGAACTATAAACATGAGGTTTGAGTTTCTGATGGCAGTGAGTTTTGCACGGTTTCTGAGACGTGACACAGTGTGGTTTGACAGGTACCGACACTTTGCAGAAATATGTTGTTCCCATCTTGGAGCTGGAAGATTGTGCTGAAATGTTGGTACCTATACTACACCCATAGTGGAAACAAGGACTTGTTACATCATTTAGCGACGCACACGTTATGGTATCATTAGAGTCACCAGGTCGTTTTCAACACATATGCAACATCTGTACGAAGGTTGGGAGTGATACGTGGAATTTACCAATTAAAACTACATGGCATCACTCCCCACAGAACAATTATATTGATATCCTCTGAAAGTGACTGGAACTTCATTTCCAACTTGACACAAAAGCACATACATCATGACCAAATTCATAAAATGGCTACTTCAACAGAGAACTACACAATTTAATTAAATATTAAATAAAGAGTTTGGCAAAAGGCAGCAAACAAATTAAAGTAACACCACTTGGACACACTCACCGGATTGCTGCGTTCTGACTCTTAGATCTGGTGTGTTGTCAAGGCTGGAGAGCGACAATCTTCTCCGAGGAGTTGACCCGAGTGAGGTGTCACTCAAATTCAAGGTAAGGTCTGTAACAGGTGACAGACCAACTGCGGGAAAGGTTGTGGGGGAGTCTGCTGCAGCCAACTGAAGGCGGATATGGTCAGGAAGTTTTAAGTTGGACATGGTTGCTGTTACTATGCAAATGGAAAAATAATGCTTTTACTCTGAAGAAGGGAATAGATTTCCAGAGAAGCAGTCTGTGCTGTTGATTTCCTGCAAAGAAAATTGAATATCATTTAATAAAATGATATTGGTATAAAGTCTCATGTGTGCAGAAGCTCTGAAAAGTGAAACAAAGATTAAACTGCATAAAACTATGATTCTACCTGTAGTTTTGTATGGATTCAAAACTTGATCTCTAACCGTAATGGAAGAACATAGATTTATGATGCTGCAGAACAGGGTGCTGAAGAGAATGTTTGGACCTAAGAGGGAGAAAGTAGCCGGATGGAGAAATCTACAAAACTCAAATGGCATACAAATCAGAAAACTTAACTTTAACACCATTAGTTATTTTATAAATATCAAACACCATTAAAATCAGAAATATCTGAACTGTACATGGCTAAACTGGTAAGCATATTGTTAGACTGGATTAATTCAGTAGGGTTGGGGGGGGGGGCGAATATGTTAGGATGTTGTCTATTGTGTCCATGTTTTCAATTCCTACAAAAAATGTAACTGAGATAAATTAGGGGTGTGTTAGACATCTCGACTATACTATCCTTTACAACGGCATAATATAAACTGAACAAATGTCTCATAGACAAAATTTTTGTGATTTTTTACACATGCCTTGCACATCAAAGAATCTATTTTTCTTAATCAGGTTTTACAAAAATTAATTCGAAAACTGAAGTCAGATTCTTACAGTAGCGCTATTCTTTAAATCGTGCAGCAAATAAATATCGAGCTTCATGAGAAAACAGTTAAACACAACATCTCAATAGCCCTAGTTATGTGTGAGTCGTGCTGAACATTCGACATGGAAAAATACAAAATTTGGTTTCTGAAACAAACACTATTTAATGATGAACCAAATTATCATAATCTGTATATAAAGTGAGTTATATTACAGCCACCTGTAAAGAAATCGCGAATTATATTTTCATTATACTATAATTTTGAAAAATGTACAATTATACATACCGACTAGTATTTGTAACTACCTTCGAAGTCACATGGTTTGAAGGTCAAGCTGGTAATAGTCTTCTGGATGCATGAACATTACTACTTTTCTCGTTTCGTTTACATCAACATAGACAAAAATGTGTGCACCATGAACCACATAATCAAAATTTTCCACTCATAAGACCTTAGCAACAAAACAAACAACCCTCACAAGCCACCTCTTTAATCGTCTTCAAACAATTCCAAATTCCGCACTCTCCTTCTCCTCCTCTAGCTGATTACAAACAACTGCTAGCTACCGCCCATTCCCCGAACGGAAAACAGTACGACACGACAACTGAGATTTCTCCAGGCTAGCCAACATAGTCTGAAACTTTTCAATTAACTTTGAAAGTTAAATACTTTGAAGTTTTAAAAACCATGCAATTCAAACATTTTATATTTTAATTTTACTATATTACACTATTACATAAAATATACCAGTAATTACGCATTATCTCAAGGCATTTACATATAAATGAAAGTTCTAGAAAATGATCGTTGTTGGAAACGAAATTCCCTGGAATCGTACACATATTATATAAAATCGCCGTCAGAGTCGTTGCACGCTGAGTCATACACTTTAATACAGAATTTGTTCACTAGATGGACCCAGCACCCAACTCTAAAGTTTTACTAGTATTAAATGGGGCGTTTGACGGCGCCAAATACGACGCAAATACAGAAAAGGGATAAAGTATTCTCTTGAAGTCGGAAATAAGACAATAGCCTGTACCCTTGATGAAGCCGCAGACGATGTAGGATATTAGTATCTGTATCTAAATAGATGAATGGGCCTGCTTCAGTATTCTTAAATTTGTGCATAGGTTATGTACTTGTCCTTGCCATCTAAGAGGTGATTGTGGTACTATTGTAAGCTTTCTGACAGCTCATCCCTTATTGTGGGTAGTCTAAAATGTAACAACTAGTTGAACCAGTAAATTATGTATGTACAGCATATGAACCAGTTTAGCTCTGTCAGTGTAGATACTGGCTTATGAGTTGAGCAGCCAGGGAATAAGAAATTCATTCTTGACAAGGGCAAGAGATTTCTTTTCTTCACTGTTCAGACAAGCTCTGGAGCACACCAAACCTCTTATCCAATGAGTATCAAAGACTTTTTTCCCTTGAAAATAAACAAGCTCATAAATAAATAAAGCTCATTGCTCATTCAAAACTAAACACAAATTTAGACTGTTTTCCTAGTACTTACCCTCATGCTGGAGGTTCACACCTTCTTTGCGGTCTGCGGTTGCCTATTTAACATATCAGAAGCCAATATCAATTTAGAACACAAAATGTGATTAAAACTACACAAAATCATTTTCTATATCTTCCAGCCATCTTACTTTGGGCCATGCCACTTTCCTTCTACCTGACTTCAAAAAATTGTCTTACCCACCCTTGTATGTTCAATTCTGATCAAATTCTTAAGTACTCTAACCTCCCTGTAGCATTTTATACTTGAAACATTATCAACTTGTTAATACAAAAGAAATAACTCACTCAAGCTGATTCCAAACAACACAGTCCTTGAAATGCTAATATTCTCTGTTACTCAAAAAATTCTCAACAGTTCATGGAACCTAAAGGTTCTTTACCATGTTCACAAATAGTCATCTCTGCCAGCTATCCTGTGCCAGAAATAAACACTCTCAGTCTATTCAGTCTGAGTATGAGAGCAAGTTTCACACCCATACAAAACAAAATTACATTTTCCTATTTTTTTAATCTACCTCACCCAAACATCGGTGGGGAATGTTGCAGAATGTATTCTAGAACTATGATGAATATATTCTAGAACATTTCAAAGATAGAGGGAACAATATGGTGATTGTACAGGGTGATTCATATAGAACAGGCCCAAAGAAGTGAGCTGTAATATAAAATATACCATCCAGATATTAAAGTAATTTACACATATCTTATCTTGGATTGTGTGCCATGATCAGAGCAGGTGTTGAAAGTGTCCGCCGTTTTCAAGTAGGCACTAGAAACACTTGCTGTTCAACAGTATACTCCATGACTGTCGCCTGCACACTGCAGACACGTTTCGGGATTGCCCTTGACCTTGCAGCACAAGGGCTGCCACTTGCCGGATCATGCGTACACCATTCGACTCAGCACTGCCCACAGGTTATGATGTCATAATTGTGAGTGGTTATATGCATCACCTGCGGAATTATTAGCAAATTCATGGGGCCAGTTCTATACGATTCACCCTGTATAATACAACAGGAATGCACATCATCTAAAGCAAACATTTTTTAACGTATGTCAAGGTTTGTTATCTACGGCCATCCTCAATCCATACTGCACATTCTAAAACCGAGATATTAGAGGTGATAAAGTATGAATGTTATCTTACCTTTCAGACTTACCCAATCTTTGTACCACATAATTCTGACTTTCTCCTGGTACTGAAGAAGAATATTGGGATGATTACATTAAGGAGGGATGAGATGGTCAGGTCTTCAGCATCCATTCGGGACCTGAGAGATATGAAGACATTATAACGAATGTAGGCTGGAAGTAGAAAGTGTTGACGAGGTTCATTGCCACTGATATGGGAGTCTCTACCCCTCCAGCCCAACAGATTTTTTAAAAAATATCAAACTTCACACTGAAGATATACACCAAATGTTAATACTGTTAGTTCCTCAGAACTCTAGCCTTGGTAGAGGGGTCATACCATCTCTCGCAGAGCTGAGGGAGCAGTCTTTTATCAGCTTACATCAGCGTGGGTACTACCAGTTTGGAATTAGCATCTTGGAGTGTGGTCAGGTGTATAGTCCGTTGTGTATCTACTCCTGGTCTCCGTAGGCAATGTTTGCCGCTCAGGGAGTAGCTCTGAACGTCACCACAGCAAGCGTACAGCTTCGCATGCTCCACAACAGCCTTTACCTTTCTGCGCAGCTAAGGTTACAAGGCACTAACTTTACCAAAAATTAAAAGTATTTTTCAAAAAAACATTCTTCTTCTGTCCTAAAGAGTCTCAGCCTGTCAGTAAAAATATTCTAAATGCCTTGAACTTCAGTTTGTGAGCACATTCTCCGGCTGCCATTGCTGCAAAACATTCTCGTGCACTCACAAATCAATCACAATGTTCCATTAAGATGTACTGACACTATGTACTCTCAAGCCACAAAAAGTAATCCCATGTATTCTTAGGACGACTGCACTCAACATTTCCACCTTTCTGCTTAGTGCTGCATTTCCTCCTCCTGTGCCCTGTGTCAGCTAGACCAAAGCATTTGTTGTTACCAAAGATTATCCCTCACAAGAATTGCATGAAATGAATGATTTGACAGTTGGAGACAAATACAGGAAATTGTGAGGTAAATGGGACTTCCTTCTGTGACCTCAAAACAGCGGAGTTTGTGAAATAACAGGGAAAATTATTCATGAATAAGGATAGACTGTAAACTAACGGATCAGTGTCTGTAAATCATTACCAGTAGAGTTACAAATGAATTTCATAAAATGGGAAACAAAATAACTTCATATTAGCTTGAGGTTCTCACAGTACAGAATATTATAATCATGATTTTCCAGAATGTAATGATGTTTGGTGTGCCAAACATGTAGCAACATCATAAGGAATGTGTTCACTAAGTCTTCTGAGATTAAGATGTAAGCCAAGCAGGGAAATCTCCCCATTCTAGGCCACATGCTCCCAATTTACTGCTCAGAACCACCATCCCAATACTCCCTTCAATATACGAGGTCTGACAATAGAGTTTGCAAACTCGCCATTGTGTCATTGCCATGGCAGCAGTGGACAGACACCTCAGTATGATTTGATGATGGTGGCATATCAGCGATTCACAGCTGTGTTGTTGTTGATCTATGGCAGTCTCTTTCTGAGGGGCATCCATTATTGTCTGAGTGTGTTCTGGTGTGCTGTTGCGAGAATGTTGGAACAAACATTAAATTTGTTAAACTTGGCAGGAGTGAAAACAAAATCAGAGAGATGTTACTGTATGTTTACAGGGATAAGGCTATGAAGATAGCAGCAGTTTACAAGTGGGTAATATGTTTTTCTCTGATGGAAGAGAAAGTGTCACTGATGAAGAGAGAGCAACGAGCAGAGCTGAAGAAAATATTGCAAAAAGTTTGTCAAATTGTGTGTGAAAATCGTTGGATCACTGTCAGGAGCACAGCAGAGCAAGCAAACATCAACAGAGAAACAGTGAAATCTTAACTGAAGACCTTAACATGAGGAAGACATGTGCAAATTTGTCCCAAAGGATCTGCTCATACGGCATTGTCTTTGAGGGAGTTTTTAGCTAGTAAACAAATAACTGTGCTCGAACACCCTCCCTATTCACCGGATCTAGCCCTCGGTGACTTTTTTCTGTTACAAAACATTAAGGAAATATTGAAAGGAAGGCATTTTGATGACATTGATGACATCAGGAGTAATATGACGGCAGCTCTAAAGGCCATTCCTCAAAACCGGTTCCAAAATTGTTTAGAAGGGTGGATTAGGCACTGGCATCGGTGCATAGCTTCCCAAGGGGGGTACTTTGAAGGTGACCGCACTAATATTCAGCAATGATATGTGTAGCACTTTTACCGTGATGAGTTCACAAACTTTATTGTCAAACTATGTATAAAATATTATTTTCCCCTATCAGTTTGCTTTTTCTACCACGTACAATTTTCCTTAGTTGGTTTGTTTCTTATGGCCTGAACAGGCAAGAAGCAGATTCCTTGGAAACAGCCATACACATCAATCAGCCGATGTGGTGTAACATTGCACAACTCAGTGATCTTAATATTCAGTGATGTAGGAGCCTCAGTTCTCAGAGAAGAACATCAGTTTCTGCATTTTTAATTTCATGTCAACAAGATCTGACACTTACATGGTCAATTATGGTAAACACAGGAACACATATTATTAAACCATCAGTTCTTTTGAAGGGTGTACTTTTACAGTATCAGGAGAAATCGGTTCATAAGAAAAACAGCAGCCTACTAAAATCTATAACAAATTTTGCTGACCTCTATTATGCTACCAATGTACCAACACATCTTTGTTAAGAATGTTCATTAGCCCAAAATATGAATAGCTGGCAATTCAGCCTGCTAATAATTTTCCTGAAATAGGCCTTTTACAATTTTTCAGATTGTCATGGACTTTGTTATTAGGGAAAACACAGAAAATTGAATTACTGAGTACACTGTTGTACATGTCACAAATTGTAATGTATGGTTCGCCCTTCACACATTATAAACAGGTTCATAAGTGTTGCACCAACTCTCCTACTTACAGATGTCTGTAACACATTTGTGTCAGGGTAGCTTAGTCCTTGGCCAGTGGACAATTCTAGGAAATTCCCAAAAATATGCC